CCAACGAGTGATCTCGTCTTATATCATCATTTCGTGTCATATGGCTTACTAATCTCAACATTTGGAATAAAAACCTCTTATCTTGAAAAATAAGACATGCGTGTGAGCATTTCCTTGTCAGATTTAGTTATTTAAATTGTTACTACTCTTCAGGCTGCATTTGGTTAAGCAGCCCTAAATCAGAAGGTCAGACGGTAAACAAAGGGACAAGTCGAGCACCTTAGCTGTCCGCCAAGTGATCGTGGATCTCCTGCATATCTACCTATTTTATAAATAGATTTTCCCAATTTCAGAAAGAGCAATTTTTGTAGAATGTCAAATAAGCTTAGACTTGCAGGGACATTTAATATGTCCATTGAATGCGTGATAACGCTTTGAATGTTCGGTTAGATCCTCGCCTTGCTTTTGAGGGCACTTAAGGCCTCTTTTTATACTTCCGCTGAATGACATGGCCTCTGGACCATGACAATGGACTTTCAGCCCTTCTATATGTAGCTAATACTATTTCTCTCTTAGTGTTATGACTTCTTTGGTCCTCAAGAGCGTCTAGGGACGCTACATTGTTAGTAACTGAAAGCCAACCCCATCCTTAAGATCGTCTACCCCAATTTCTATCACTGAATGTCAAACTTTGACGTAACGAAAGGTGCAAACGTGCTATGGATGAAGAATCTATAAAGTCCCCTAACAGAAGGGTTTAAATAACGTCAGCCTTCGACAGCTACCACAGTCTTGTATTTTTTAGAAATGCTATTAACAATTAAATCGACAAAAGCCATGAACCATCTAAAAGTTTGTTATGCAGCTGCCCAGAATTCCTGTATAAAGATGACAGCGAAGCGAACACTCCATACCTCCCCTGCCTCTCTACAAGCCGATTAGAACCCAGATAAATATAGTTGGACAGCACTAAAGTCAGAACGAAGTGGTAAGGCGGAGCAGACGCAGAGCTTTGTCCCCATGAAACCACATTAAACGCTATGCTTTCTTAAAAGATTCTGCTTTTGGGCCGGAGCTTTGACAAGTAGGGATGAGCATACGTTAGAGCCAGCACATTTCCCAAATGGGGCGAAACTAGTTCTAGTGAAAATTGTCGAAAGGAGTCGGAAAAGCTACATTTGTGAATCTTCTTAGTTGCAGGCAAATTAGATGTTCGGTGAGGTTAGTACGTGGGTGTTGTTCTTTCAGTACCGACTGCATTGCGATGGCCGACGCGGAGGATTGACCCAGGGCAGCCCTGTTTGCTTGTTTAACGCTTTGTCTTGGTTTCAAGCACACTTAAGGTCTCTCTTTTTACTCCTCTCAAATGGCGTGGCCTCCGGCCAAGCTCATATTCTCTCAGCCAAAACATTTTCTTCCTTGGTATTAAGACTTCTTTCGTCTTCAAGAAAGTCTCGGGAGCTAGAGTGTACCCACTATATTTCTTAATAGATCAAGTTTGTATCACCGTCATCACCCGGAAATTCATTCTGCGTGTGGTTTAAAACACTCGCTTATGAATATTTGTTCAGTGGTTTACTATTTAAGTTAAATGTGTGAGAACCAGGAAACACCAGAGGTAAATGTCGACTTATATACATACCGGGCCAACTGGAGGTCTATTGACGTAATACAAAGTCTACATACATCAAATTCAAGCCATCCATAAGTCAAATTATATAATAAAGTGTCTACTTGTATAGATTTCAGCCTATTTGGAGGTCAAACAAAGGTCTACTTAAATAGATCTCAGCCACCTCGGAGGTCATCTTCATCAATAAAACATCTACCTATGTAAATTTAAGGCCACTCAGATGTCGTATAGCGTAATAAAAGTCTACTTATACCAATTTCATGGAGGTCAAGTGGCGTAATAAATGGTCTATTTATGTCGATTTCATACTAATCGGATCTCAAACGATGCAATACCAGGTCTACTTATATTGATTTCAGTCCATCAGTAGAGCAATATACTTAATTATATGTCTGCTTATATGGATTTCTGGCTATTCGGAGGTCAAACAACGCAACTAAAAGTCCACCTCTATTAATTTAAGTCTACCCCTCCTTCTAATTGTGTAATTAAAGATCTACTTATATCGACTTATGCCTATCTAATCGAGGTAGACAAAGACTATCCCACCTCAGCAGCGCATTTTTTGCTGGTAATAACTCATGCCCTGTACTGGCATGGAAGTGTCAACGTTACAGAATAGTTAGCTTAGCCAATCGCTTTTGGGATTTACAAGTTTCCACCAGTACTGTCGATACCTTCTATGGAACTCCGCGTTCATAAGTCAATGTTATTTGCTCCTATTACCATCAGTGCTCGTCTCAATGCAATTCTGTTCACTTTCAAGTAGGCTATCATATGAATACATGGCAATGAAACAAAAATATTCAATTTGTGCTTATATTCCCATTAGAACAACACACTGAGCACTGACTTTTTAAAAGAACCGCCAGTTCCCTCAGTCTTTACATTTACCGAAGAATAAAAAGGACTATCAGGAGCCGTATAATAGATGTCACCCCTCAAATGAAAGAGGGAACCTCAGAGTTGGATCTATTTACCTACATCATGCTATTATACTAGCCCCATAGACGATGAGAGAAAAAGGAGTCACGAGCAGATGTTGTAAATACAAGCCGCTTTGTTTCCACCTTGGTTGAGCCAGCTGGAGGCGGTTTGCTTGCACCACGACATGTTGTTCAAATATCAGCGGTTCGTTGGAGGACTGAATTACACAAGTATATCTGTCCAGAAGAAAAAAAAGGGTCGTTACATTAAAATACTTCTAAATGGTATCAATGAAAAAGCGCCATTTTGTTTGGAAGTGTCGTGATTTGCAATGAGTAATTTGTTGACGAGTTGCTCTTTAACAGCTCATCATGGTCTTCAAAGCACATTGTAGTCTTGGTGAGGATACAGTTCAGCTATGGAGTCTAATGATGGATTGTGGTCAATCGACCTTGACCTCCAACGCGGATTGGATGATGGAAGTCCAGGTGATCATTTTATAATTCGGAGATCAAATTAGCCACTTCATATCCGATAGGAATAAGAATTTCAGATGCATCTAATGGACATTTTCTTTGCCACTTTCCATTTAAAATGAGAACATTGCAATTCGGAGGACTATGAGATTAACTATATTAATTAGATAGTTATGCTTACACATGTCTCCTAAAGCAATTTTCACAGGATTGAATTCCCACGGAACCTGAAGAAATGTTTGTTGCTAAAAAATAACTGTAACAGAATATGATGAAAGCAAAATCCTAAAAAGAAGGTTTGAGGAAGTTGTTGTCGCTGCTTTCGAGTGTTTGTTGCTTACAGTGATGTAGTGAGTATGTGCTATATGCGGGCTCATCGTGCCGTCACCGAAGGCATTATCAAAAGTAAATACTGTGTAGGTGCCTACTCAGAAGGTGAGTCGTGATGAAGATGGTAGAACTGATGGATTCATGGGCACTAAGCTCTTTAAAGGGTAACTATTGTCTGGTTAGTAAATCGCACACCTGGTTATCCTTTAGTTAGACTAACTACTTTAATGATGATGTTCTCGTACCCAAAAAAATTTTTTCCTGTAGTTTATTCGTCCCAACATTTATCAAGTCTTCCTTAACGCATGCATTGCCGATAAGGAGACTTTGAATGCCATAATATGAAAAGTATATCAACTTTGACTTGGCGAATTTTCCAAAGATTACGCATTTCCATGCCAGTGAGGACCCAGTGCAAAATGCTTTTAGTGAGTATTTTACTTTGTTTACTCTGCGTTACAAATGCGTGGAGTTAAAAAAGGAAGCGTTACTCGGCAATGTGAATGCTCTGCGACTAGATTAATAGCTGGGATCCAATTCAAATGTCTCATTTTCCACTTCGAGTGACATTCTTGGAACAACCTAGACATCTATCCTCGTCTCCTGAGCAGGATTGAGCATGGTACCCCTAAGAACCTACCAAGTGCAAAAGTATCAACACATGGTCTGTCTTAGTTATAACACCACTCCTGTTCTGTTTCAAACAATGCAGTATCGAAAAAGCAAGCGTATTTCTTAGTTCAAGTAGGAAAAAGCTGATGTGTTTCTATTCCCTTAGAGTATTAATTTGCTTTATTTGGGACTTGATTTAAAATACTAATTGAGTGCGTCAATGACTTTATTGTCCAAATTTCGATTGCACTAGCTCAAAAACTACTGCTTACATATCAGTAGTATTGCATTAGTTAAGCGTGAAGACCCCATTGTTTTGTAGAATAGCTGACTACAATGAAGATAACACATCCAGCAGTTAAAAGAGAAATAATTTACTTCCACTGAAGCAAGATGAGTCTTTTTTATCCCACCATGTTTTAAATAGTGGACTAAATATAATTAAGTGCATTCCTCAGTTCGTTGTTTCACTTTCCGGAATTGTACCATTCATGTAGCAATTTGTATCCCTACTTAATTTGAGTTTGCTACGATTGAATTGTCACATCAATATAAAACATGTAAAAATGTGTTTGTTCCTATTTTACAAACCAAAACCGTAGTGCCACTCTTTAATTGGTAATCAGTATGTTGATTTGGCTTTCAACAGAGACCATAGACTATTTCCATGATAGTCACATTCAACTAGAAAAAGTGACCTAGCAGGCACTTGAGGTCCTAATTTTTATATAATTTAACCATTACAGCCCAAATTAATTGTTTTGTTTATTTGTAAAACAATCCATTTATCCACTTTAAATTGTTGTTCCAATCAAGAAACCATAAAGTGTAATCAAAAAATGCCTTTTTAGGTAAAGTGGCTTCCAATATTGCAACTCGGAAGTACTTCGGGTGTATTACTATTTAAAGGGCAGTAGATTCGGTGAAACGAATAATCCACGGTGATAGAATGGCACAGTATGTCTCCAAGCATTTTCCCCTCTCAGGGGCGGGCTCTTACAGGAGCAATAAAGTCTTGTCACCTGTCTAGTATCTTTTTTGTGCTTTTGGTCTTGTTAAGCTGCAATGTATTCACTACTCGCATGGCTACTCTAGGTTTATACAGTCTAAGAAGTCGTCTTAAGGACCGAAAATCATTTCTCCACCTATTTCTTGCAATTCTGTTGAGAGTGACAAGACATGATTTCAAGAGAACAGTAAGTAAGCAAATTAAGAACCTTTGATGCATTTTGTCGAAATTTTTGATAGTCAATAATTTTAGCTAAAACTGTGATACTTAGATTTATTGCTTGAAGCTGCTATTTTGGCTACATGGGCACATGAGCTGGGCACCATGGCCTCTGGGCCGTGACAGCAGCCTCCCAGCTCCTTCATACATCGGCACACCTTCACGTCATATTAGCTGCAGAGGAGATCCCAATGCAAATGCAAAACAGGGCATGTTTTGGAGTCAGATTGGAAATTTGTATAATGGGAATTAAAAGTGGCAACAGCAGTGTGGCAATTCTATCTTGCCATTCCTGACCAGAGATGATAAGTCAAAGGCCTCAGGCGAAGTCGCCTATCCTACGTGTACACGCACCGCGCACTGGGAGGCAATGACGGTGTGGGAGTTGTTCAAGAGCGGGAAACTACTAGGCCGATGAATAGTCTCCAAGTCCTGACTGTGCTTCAGTCATCTGGCCACACATGGGTCATCTGCGGTCATGGATGCCAAGACTGTCTCCCGGGACTGAGATCACTTCTAGCATCCACTTCCTGCAGTAAAATTATACTCCGTATGTAGGGCATCTGCATTCCCTCATCCGAATTCCAAAGCACCCAAAGGTCAGAAGTGAAGGTCACACCAAGTGAGTTTCGTGATGCATCAGAAGTTGTCGTGGGGTATGTCGCATTATCGAGAATCATATCAACAATATTTTGAGTGTGGATTTAAAAATTGCCTGACAAATTTTGCACACTAGTTTCTGCAGATTTCCACCACTCCATCACTAAAACAGTTAAGGTGCCCCTGTGCCCATGTAAATGCCATGCAGTTAGTGGCCCACTTGAACTTATTTGATCTGATTTAAATAAAAAAATTCCACTCTCTTTCACTAATTTTCCCCCGGCTTACATGCATAAACACTCTTCGTAGTGAAATGATGCTACGGTTTGACTTAACACCCATTTCAGTCCCAATTTGCATGGAGCCGTACCTTTAACACATATGTTTCCATATTTTTAAATATGTATTTAAAATTTCGATTTTTTTAACTCGAAATGGATTTTATGTTGCAAATTTGCCTGTCTCTAAGCAACGCAAGTGAATGTAAATGCGAAAGTATCCTCCATGCAACACATGGTATCTGCGAGCGACTTACACGTATATACAAGTATGAGTGCCAATTTCACGAAGGTAAAGGAAAAATCGGATGAAATGACCTACGAACACACAAACAACTGGTTAATCACATAATGCCTGGTATGTGACAAAGCTCATAAATTTTTTTACATAAAATTGATGGTTTGCTACAGGAAGACATGTCCTTGGCACAGAGGTGACTTTGATTTAGGCGGGCTGGAAAAGGGCTTTTAGGCCGTAATGTAGAGATTAGAAATGTTTCAATATTTCATTTTACTACGAATGAAGTAATGCCTTACATATTTAAAGGTCATTGGGAAATTGCCGTTTCATCATTTATCAATTATTTGGAAAACAAGGTTTCTGCCATCCTCTGGAACTTTTGTCGTCTGTTTTAAATGTAAAGGTGGGATAATGGTGCATTCATTTACCATAAATTAAGAAATATAACGAAAATTAAAGGCGGTTACTTGGTAAAAGGCATTTTTTTTCTGCACCATCATCAGGTAGGATGAAACAACCCCATCAGAATGCTTTGTCACTGCTGGCAATTAGAAAGTCGGGCTGGTGATGCAGACACTAGGAGTGTTTTAAAATATTTTTACCGAGTTACCCAAAAACGTGAGTTTTGATGACGTTTTTATGCACTAAAAGGGATTTTTGGTAATAGATCCTCATTGCCTCATCCGGCCCGGACACCAAAATGTGCCATCACTTCTTTTAGCCTAGGCCGAAAATTGACAAAAGATTAACAATCTGTCAGTGTTAGCCAGCACTATAGAACACACTAATCGGCATAAAATTGTGCAGCTGAACATGCAAAGGACCAATTTACCTTTTGACAGGGAAAAGCAGTACACCTGAATGGATACCGTCCTAATAGTGGAAGCAGTTCCTGACACTACTTGCTTGTCAAAGTATTGTACTAATGGGTCAGTTTCAAGCATTTAACCGACAAGCAGGATTGTAATGCTAAAAAAGTTACTAATTGAAAAAGACCTTATAAAGAGATTCCTTTGTAGAAATACCCAGAATTCTAATTCATATTCTCATTTTTTTCCTGAAAAAGATGCCAAGGAATACGGTGGAAGATATACTACTGATGTGCAGAAGGGATGAGGCTTCCGACATGGCCCGTGGGCAATGTCGGAGAGTGGATTTACAATGACGCAGCCTTTAGTGCCCTCTTAATCAAAACGCAGAGTTAAGCAAACAATCAAACCATTACACTAATCGCCCTCGTTTCTGGTGCACTTTTAATTACCATCCATCTGCTCTGATTGGCAGGAGTCCATAGGATGGTTCATTTTCAAGGTCAATCCTTCATCTACGAGATTTTCGACAATTGTGCGCTGAAAGAGAGAAAACCACTAAAACGCTAAAATAAGCAAGCATTTTTTCGGAATAACAAACATTCATATCACTTTTTGGTTTCGAAAATCAAATTCTTGTATTTTATAGATTTGGTTGGGAAATATGAGCCAAAGTATGATTCAAAGGTGGGGGTACTATCAGACTTACCATCAGTCAGCGAATCTCTGAAGAAGTATTCTATGGTAGCTTTTGCTATACTACTATAAATGTGGATAAACAGTTAAGCACCTAATTTCATTTATACTTATCGTCACTTGAATAAAGCACTTTACATCCAAACCAGTTATCATTAAATAACAAAACTTCAGTTATTAGTTGTTACATGAAGTTTTGGCTCATGATTTAAGCTTAAATGACCCTTAAAGCGGCAGATGGGTATTTAAATAAATTTTCGTATATTATAGCGTTCCGACTCTTGCCTAAAGAAAATAGCAATCAAAATACTAGGAGAGGAAATGTATTACTGACTTACAGATCTGAAAGGCTACTGCCATGGCCCAGAGGCCATGCCACCCTAGCGGAATTACAATGACCGGGCCTTAAGTGACTGCAACAACAAAAAACGAAGAGCTAACCAATGATTCAAAGCGTTGCATCTCTCCTCTTCTCTTTTGAGTGTCGTGCCCTTGGTCATCTTTCCCCGTCGATCATCGCAAGGTAGTCGATGCTGTAAAAATATCCCCCACGAATCAACCGACCAAGGAACCAAAATTGAGTGCAATTGAGAAGACATCTGGCAGTGGCTTCATTGATGCATCTTGGCAACTTTACTAAATGTGGAGTTTGGGAAAAGTTGGTGGGGGGGGGGGAGGTAAAGTTCGGACCATCTAGTGTGTCCACCACTAGTTGCAAAGATATTTCTTAAAATGCAGGATCATTTGATAAAGAGTGGGATTTGATTTGTACTTTGTGGAGACTAATTTTCTCCTCGATTCCTTCTTGCCTCTTTATTCGCGTTTCAGTGCTTTCCAGCTATATATTTACCTAGATTCCATCCAACCAGTAGCGCATTGGTGGAGTTACTGTGTGTTCACTCAAGTAACATCTACATAACAAACTTCTTCCGCATGGTCCACGGCTACTTTTGCTTTACTTTTTAATAGTATTCCTTCAGGTTGTGGAACTAAAGTAGTTGATAAAGGTGGACATCATTTTCAATCACTCCCTTTGGGGTTATCACAGATACTCCCATCCGCAAAACACGACCTTCTTCCATCCATTCACGTTTTAGCATTCAGGAATACAAATAATGGTAACTATTCTGTAATGGCAGGTTCGCCTTTCACTGCCACCAATGTAGCACTTCGAGCCTCTCCTGAAGACGACAGAAGTTATATTACTGAGTCAAAATATAAATCATTGACGTACAGAAGGAGCGGAATGCTGCCAATGTGGTCCGGGGGACAGTTTCGCTTAGCGAAAGCACAATAGCCGAGGCAAGATCTTTACACGACACAGAGCGGCACTTAAAGACTTCTCTGACGACAAACGAAAACAATATTAGGAAAGAATATATGTATATTTCATACACAGTAGGGAATGGTGCCATTGCCATAGCTCGGAGGCTGTGCCATCCAGTGGAGGTACAGAGGCGGGAACCTAGGTACCCACGAAACCAAAACAAAGAGTTAATCAAACGAGCCTGGTATTGTAAAAGTGCCAAAATTTGTAATAAGTACATTGACAAGATTTCAAATCTTCATGTGAAAATCAGTGCGTTTGGAAAGCATGTGTCCTTGTGAAGCCTGTTAATTTTTTAATTCCTTCAAAAGTGTTTTAAACCGGTGCATCGCTGGCGTTACAACCATGTAATTGTGGTCAGGATGGACGCTACGCTTCACAGACACTCGTCAACATGCCATTCCTGTTTCCTATTAATATTCATCCCACTAACTTTATCAACAATTGATATTGAAATAAATTTTTTTTAACATAGGTTTAATAAGTTAATTGGTTGTTTAACTCTTAGTATTAGTAATGAGCCACTTAGGGGCTCTGCCATCGTACCCAGGCCGGGCGGACTAGCCTCTGGGCCATGAGAGTTGCCCCGAGCCCTGCTGTACATCGTCAGTACATAGTCTGCCCGACTGTCGTGTCTTCTTTCGTCTTCAGGCAGGTCTCATGGATCTACACATGTTTGAATATAACCCCTTAACTTTGGAAGCAGATTCCCAGTTTCTTGTAATTTGTCATATGTACGATAATATACATATCCTTTATTTAAAGATATTTTGGTAACCGAGTGATCAAAACCTAAACAAATGAGGCGTCTCAGTGTACAATTACACTTAAATGAAGGCGCTGTCATCAATCATGAGGATTGAAAAGGTAGGTTGATAAATCGACCGCGGAAGTAGAAAACAATCAAGATTGAAATTGCCATCAAAATGAATGGAATGGGGAAGATTAATCCAGCGACAAGTGTTATGCCGAGGACCAGCAACAAATCCAAGAGCATTGCAATGCAACTGCCAAAAATGTCAATCCGTCACCGACTACGACTTTGAGGTGTGTTCTATTGATCTCGACTTGTTTGACTTGACGCACGTGGATGGAAACAGCGGCGCTGCAACTGTAAATTAAGTCACCAAAGACATTTTGTGTATTTACCTCAGCTGGAAAGTTGTTGACCTTAACAATTTATTAGATCCTTAGAATTACTTATTTCCTATGCAACGGTTTCCCCGCAATTTGCTTGTTTGCTTAATTCTTCATTTCGGTTTTGCGGGTACTTTAGGTCAGGCCATTGTACGCCCACTGGGCGGTACGGTCTCCGTGCCATGACAGTAGTCCCCCAGCCCATCTATACTTCAGCGATACATTTTTGTGGTCGTATTACATTTTCTGTCTTTAAGCTACAGCGAAAAGCAGATCCGATTTTAAAGGACCGCTAACCTGATTTCCATTCCTGAATGCTAAAACTTACATACCATTGGAAAACCTGGGAAGACACCTAACAGAGGGACTAAAAATGACGCCTGCCATCGGTAACCACCCCAATCCTATCTTTTACAGGAAAGCTGTTAACATTTGAAGCGATGCTAGCCGTGATACATCCAAAAAATTTTGCTATGGAGCTGTCTGCGATACTTGCTTGAAGATATCAATAAAGTGAACACTGATGCATCCGCCACAACTCTTCTGGATAGATGGAACCAAGATGGGTGTGGTTGGGCAGGACTTAAGTAAAAACAAAGCGGTACGGAGGAAGAGACGCAAAACCACTTCTCCCTGAAACTGTCTAAACACCGTCCTTTATTAAATCATTCTGCCTTTAGTTTAGTGTTAATACTACTGGTGATGAACATACATGATTGCCAGCACATTTTCTCTCCCTCAATATGGTTTACAAGCGAGGCGAAACTCTAGATCTGGTGAGATTGCCAGGAAGGACCGTTGACGTGTCGGTCAAATATCTCATTTGTACGCAAATTTGATGACAAGTGTGGCTGATTGGTGGGTTTTTTCTTACAGACACCGACCGCATTGCGATGGCTGACGCAGGGGAACGAGCAAGTGGAGCGCTAAGGTCGACGCTAGGAAGGAGGCAGGGGCTAAGCAACTTAACTCTTCGTTTTAGTTACGTGAACACCTAAGGCCTGGCCGCCGTATATCCACTGGGCGTCATGGCGTCATAGCTCTTCTGCACGTCGGCAATGCATACTCCGCCCCAGCAACATATCTTCTTTCGTCTTCAGGCAAAACTCGAGACACTACATTTTTAATATTCTATCCAGCGTCTCGGGTATCCTGACTTTGATTTGTAGACATAAAATATCATTCTTCAGTAATGTGAGTGAAATTCGTCATCTTAGTGTGCCTTAGATGTCCAGTCGACATCACGGATTACCAAGGTCAAAAAACATTTTTCCATCTTACATAGTACGATCAAAATATCGAAAGATTCAATTCAAAAAGTGTTTTTCACCGTAAAAAAGCTATCTTTTGCAACCCTCATGGTACAAATTGGAGAACCTAGTAGGACTAAAGAGTATCGGTTATCATTATTGCAAACTTTGGAGTTGTACAAACGTATTTCACTGTTTAAGTTCAAAGGGTAAAGCAAGAGTGCACTGCAACGCTCCAAGTCCTCCCTGAAGTTGAAAGAATATGTGCTACCGACGCACAGAAGGGCTGGGGGGCCACTGGCACGGTCCGGTGGTCATGCCGCCCAGTGGAGGTTCAATGGCCGAGCCTTAAGTGTCTGCAACAATCAAAATGAAGAGTTCAACAAACAATTTAGATGTTACACTACTTCCTATCTTTTTTTATCAGGACACATGCAATAGCGCTGCTGGTGTCTTTGTCAAAGAACGCCGGCGAAGAAGGTTTAACTCCTGGAAGCCCTAAATTCGCGCAGATCATACAAATAGAAGTTGGATTCTGACTAAAAAAAAACATTAATTAAAAACTGAATAGAGGGGATTTTGGAGTAAGGGTAAGGTTATTAACTTAAATTATTTTGAACTCTTAAATTTACTCATTAATAATATTTCTTTTTATCTCAGCCGTGCTCTGCTAGCTAACAACCAAGAGACCTAAAAGGCAGCCTGAAGACGATTTGCAAATAATTTTTTATCATCCTTTTATCCAATAAAGATTCATCATTTAGCACAACATAGGATAGTTTACAGATTTATCAGTTTTCGGGAAGACAACCTGCGTAACATCGTTGACAATGACAGGTGGTCCATCGCATTGAGTTTTAAGCGGTATTGGAGATCAGCTCTTTTGAGTTTATTCATTGCTTCTAGGGAATAAATACTTCAGACTGATTTACTGTTGTATAAATAATCTCTCAGTTTAATGTGCTCTGATGGAGCGTACGGATAAGCATCTAAAAGCAGGTTCCTTCTTGATGCGCACTTTAATGATTTTTGAAGAATTTTCAAGCTCCTCTGCAATATGAGAGGGTTCAAGTAATTTGGACTTAGCTCAGTTAAGTCAATCCAGCTTTTGTTGTTTGATTTGTAATTATTTCGGCACCGCCTCTCCAGTTAGTATGCATACGAAAATTGAGGTAGTCGGAAACAGTCTCTTGGATTTCGCCACACTTAATTGCGAGACTAATGAGCACGGTAACCACGAGTACATTTGTAAAGAGTGCCCCAGTACTTCATGCAGAGCTCACTCACTCATCCTTTTGTTTTGGCTGTTTAAGTGTTTTGAATACCTTGTTATTAAAGTAGCATTAGGGTAGCCTAGTATTTTTGTTAGTTTGCCTCATCTACATTCATTTGTGTTTATCACACTGTGCATTCAGAATCGTTGGCTAAGTTGAATTATGATACAAAACCAGGGTATTATAATTCGTCGGTAAATACAAGCCCCATGAC